GTGCTTTTGTGGAAAAGCGTCCGTGCCAATCTAGACACGGTTTTGCGCAAGAAAGCCCCGATCGCCATTTTGGCCATCGGGGCTTTTTTGCGCAAAACAGTTCTTCCCTGTCTACACTGGCCCTCTTCCGCAAGTATTCTTGCGCAAGAGGGCTTTTTCCCGAGCAGAAGCGTGAAAGCATTTGCGCAAGAAGCAGTGATTTTGTACATTACAAAGTAAATGCTCTTGCGCAAATTCAAGCGACCAGTGTAGGCAGCTGGCAAGATTTTGCACAAAAGCGGCCACTTTTGCACAAAATTTTGCCAATGTAGACATAGCCCATGTGTCTCACAGAAAGAAATGGCCACAAACTTCCCAGGATAGCTGCTTTCCTACGCCTGCCTTCCTATTTTTCCAATATTTTCTTTTCTTCAGATAAAATAAAGAAGTGAAGTGTTGAGTTCTGGTTTTAATGAAGCTAGATTAGCATCACATCACTAAACAGTGTTTGGAGCAGGTGCCATGTGAAGAGAGATTAAAAAGACGGGGACTTTTCAGCTTAGAATTTTGTGAGGGGGATATAATAGAGGTCTACAAAAACATGATGGCTACGTCTAGGCTGGCATGATTTTCCGGAAATGATTTAATGGAAAAGTTTTCTGTTAAAAGCATTTTCGGAAAAGAGCGTCTAGATTGGCACAGACGCTTTTCCGCAAAAGCACTTTTTGCGGAAAAGCGTCCGTGGCCAATCTAGACGCACTTTTCCACAAAAAAGCCCCGATCGCCATTTTCGTGATCGGGGCTTTTTTGTGGATTACAAATCTCAGCTGTCTACACTGGCCCTTTTGCGCAAAAGGGACTTTTGCGCAAAAGGGACTTTTGCCCGAATGGGAGCAGCATAGTATTTCCGCAAAAAGCACTGATTTCTTACAGTAGCAAGTCAGTGCTTTTGCGGAAATTCAAGTGGCCAGTGTAGATAGCTGGCAAGTTTTTCCGGAAAAGCGGCTGATTTTCCGGAAAAACTGGCCAGTCTAGACACAGCCTATAGGTTTGGAGAATGTGAATAAGGAAAAGGCAGCAGGTTTAAAACAAACAAAAGGAAGTTTTTCTGCGCACAGTGCACAGTTAACTGTGGAACTCCTTGCCAGAGGATGCCATGAAGACCAGGACTTTAACAGCGTTCAAAAAAGAATTAGCTGAATTCATGGAGGTTAGGTCCATCAATATGTATTAACCAAGATGGGCAGGAATGGTATCCCTAGCCTCTGTTTGTCAGCAGCTGGGAATGGGTGACAGGGGAGGGATCACTTGATGATTCCCTGTTCTGTTCACTCCCTCTGGGGCACCTGGCATTGGCTCCTGTCAGAAGACAAGAAACTTTATGTTCTAATAGGAGATTCTCCAAAGAGCAGCTCTGGCTAGTGAGTCACAAACTCCAGGCCAGGGCTATGGGAGAGTCAGTGTGGTGCCAGCCTTGCTGACCAGCCTGCAGGAGGAACAGAAAGGATGGAAGTTAAACGGGGTGGTTTTATTATCCATAGTGCCACAGAACCTGCTGGTGACTAATGCAGGGCCCGCGGCTTGTGGCTAGCTGCTGTACGCCCCCAGGGGAAAGCCTGCCTCTGCAATCTATTATATGACAAAAGGGGAGCAGATGGTAAGAGGGAGACCATTCTGATCCCTGCATTTAGCAGCGGTCTGGGTACATTGGTTTAGTGTCAGGAAGAGGCTGACCGTTCCCATTTTCGACTGCACTCCCAGGGACGGGGAAAGGTGACTCATGTACCTTCCGGTGTGGAAAGAGGTGGATTTCAAGGGCTTTCATTACCCTACTTAGTTCTCCCCGGATGATTTCTTATTGCTGACAACCGAAGAGGCTGCCAGGTGTCCTTACGGCATGGCTACTGCAAGTGACGGTGAATGTGTCATGCTTTGCTGGTCGAGGACATACGAGCCAATCGCCGGGGACCGTCGCCAGCGATACGGAACCCTTCTCTCGGGTGAGAGACAGTCCAGGGGTTAGAAGGCAGGAAGGAGAGTCAGCAATTCTGGGGTCTCCTCCTCCAACCTGCCTCCTGGAGCTTTCGCATTCCTGGGGGTTTCTGCTTAACAGCCTGTGGGCAGGGGTGCCGCGAGGCTCATGTCCCCGTTGGCTGCAGAAGACGCGGGCAGCAAAGATGCTGGGGAGGAATGAAGGGTAAAGGGGCTGGCTGCTGCACCCTGGGGGGGGCAGCGGCAGAGGGGGGCAGGGGGCAGTCACACTGGCGCTAAACCCCCTCCAACCCCACCACAGGGCGGGAGCACACAAAATCTACTACCCCCC